GACTTTGTCTTTCTCCGCCCTCAACAGCATTCGGTTGCCCATTTCACCGTGTGATCTTTAAACATGCCCTTGTGTAGTTGGTGGAGGATGTCCGGAGTGAAGCAAGTGAAGATGTCGCAGTGGGGCAAGTCCGCCCAGAAGGAAAGAACGGGACGAAGGCTGAAGTCTTGAATTCAGCAGGTTTGTCACCGTTTAATGCCTTTCGGATCATAGACAACGAAGCTGACATATTGCGACAGGTGGACTGAACCGGTTCTCCGCGCCTCTTTGGGTCTACGAGACACTGTGGGCAAAAGTTCTCCTGGCAGCAAGCGATGAGACATTGCTCTGGATGGTCCGCAATGTATGCTGCCAGAATAGGGAATACTTTGCGAACAAATCCATCGCCGCATTCAACATCGACACCCTTGCACCCGGCTTCCACAAGTGGTGCAAGTAGCGAGCGCATACATTCGTGGAAGAGTTGATATCGCTTTTGAGCGCGCTGCTCCTCCGAAAAGCACTCGAGTTTAGTCACGGGAAGATAGCCGATAAGAACGGTGGCATGAGCAGACGGTGAGCGGCGTACTGCCTTTGCAATGTTCCCGATACTGAGGTAGACAGGCCAGGCTGACTTGTCTCCACTGAACGTCGACAGCTGTGTCTTATCGGAGGCAAGAATGACAGGGGCAACTGTAGCCCCTGGTGGGAGGATTTTCTACAAGCTTGTTCAGAGCATCGTACGGTTTCAAAAGATAGTACGTACTTGGATCTCTTCCCACCATTCGGCTGTCCACATTTCGCTTATAATAGGCTTCTCAGCGTACGCATCTTCAAATAGCCGTTTCGGTTCGTATTCGACACAGTGGTTGAATGCTGGATTGCTGAGAAGGTCCTTGATACATTCAACAGGGTCCCTTTGCCAAAGCTCCATCACCTCCTTCTGCTTTTGCCCGTTCGCATCTAACAAGTCGCCCTCCACTTCCCAAAGCTCACACTCCCACTTTGGCCCTCGGGGAAGCTGGTCAATTTTCTTCAAGAACTGGCGTTTGTTCGTGAACGAGAGCGAAGTGCGAGAGCGAGTCTTCCGTTCTCTGGCATCAACACCAAAATTAAGCAAGTTGCAAATAGAGGTACGCACAATATTCAGCTTCAAATACTTGTCAATGTCTCCGTGACTCATTCCGCTCATCAACAGGAAGCGTGCGAGCTTCCATTCATCTTCGCACTCAAATGGAGCCCATGGATTGTCGCCAAGCCCTTCTTTGATACGAGCATCATGAAGCTTCTCGAACAAGTTGTCGCATTTCTTGTACGTTGCGGCAGCACCGGGGACCGTACGCACATGCGGATCGTGTGGCAGGCCTCCAGCATCGTAGTCCCTATCTTCAGGTATGTCCTCGACTCTCGCACGTTTACTTGCAGGTTCTGCGGAGCTGACTGGTGGGTCGTCTAGCATTTCTACGTCCTCATTTCGCATGGGAAGACACGGTGCAGTGAAAGAAGCATCGAGAGAGCTGCTTAAATGTGCTGGACCGGAGTCTTGCTCAGCAGGAGGTATGTTGTTGTTGGCCTCAGAGATATCTCTGTCGAGACGAGCCAGGAGCTGACGAGCCTTTTCCTCCAGCTTCCTATCAAATATCTCCCGGCACGCTGCTTTTTGACGCATATGAGAAGCAAGCCCTTGATCGCTTTTAAATTCATGAAGGCAATTAGAGCACCGAAGTGGTTCAGAGTGGGACATTTTGCAGAGTGGCGAGTGGTGAAGTGAGCAGGTACCAAATGCGGGTGAGTGATCGGTTGCTGACACACTACTGACTGCCCCTTAAATTTGTCGCGTCGCGACGATGCTTGGCTTGCCCTTCTCCACTATCTGACCGCCTGTCCCACTTGCATTTACCAACAATATATGCCCTCTCGCCCTCCGAACTCGACAGATGAGGAAGAAGAGCAACCCCTCAAGAACACGGCTAAAACATCACGACTCCACAACGAGGGTATCTCTTCCGGCAATATTGTGAAGGGCAAGCGCAAAGCAAAACCCACGAAAAAGCAAGAATCCAATGGTACGTCTGCAGTATGCTATTTTAATCTCAAGTTCTAGCAGCTAATCTAGTGCGTACTTTAGAGAGAGATGACGGTGAGCGACTGAAGACACAGCTTGAAAAAGCAAAGAAACTACTGCGCAAGTACAGACGGCAGCAGAGCAACTGGAGGTAGGGCATTCCTTTGCTAGATCTCATCTCAGTGATATCTAAGCTG